AGTTCTGCTGTCTGATGCTCTGGATTCTGCTTTATGAGGATCATGATGTGTTTGTTGATTCTTGAGCTGAATATCCTCTGGATCTCCTCCATTTCTGCTTTGTCTTCGTTATTAAGTGGAGCATCAGGAATGATGAGGATGAACACATGAACTCCAGGATGACAGAGAGACACACAGCGGTGAGTCTGACGCAGCACGTCCTCCTCTGAGAGCTGAGTGTTGAACAGAGCTGGAAGCTCCACCAGACTGATCAGACGTCCATCAAGCTCCACGTCTCTCCTCACACACTCTGAGCTCAGCTCTGATCTTCTCTCGCTCTGCTTCAGGATCAGCTTTGATGTGAAGGATTTTAATTCTCTGTTACTCCCACACACAACCAGATTCAGCTTCACACCCTCTGGATCTGTTTCAAAGAAATAAACTAGTTTAACAATATGATTTTAACTTAACATTTAGATTAATGCTGCATTCACATGATGTTGGAATTACTGCAGTCTAGCTACAAAAAGCATTTACAAGCTGTGATACTTGCCAAATGGGCTGTTGCTAAGTACTGATCTTTTTTTTTAGGGCCCAAGCCAGTAAGGCGCAGGGCCCTATTGTTTTTCTAAGGATTGTTATTATTTTTCTTTCAAGGTTTTGGGGGGTTTTGGGGCCCTTAACATACTCGAAAATTCTTGAAACTTTGCACACATGTTGTAATCTGCGGTCTTCAGGGCTGGACTGAGTTTTCAGGGGTCACCGTGAAGGCACAGCCTTTAAAAAGGCGACTATTCAGGGACTCTGTAGCACACACCGTTTGACCTACACTCACCAAAATTCATACACATATAGATCTCATCAGGCCAAACAACTTTCGTGCTGACAGTCCGTGCTTCACCCAACAGGAAGTCGGCTATTTAAAGTTTTGTGAAAAATGCATGCTGTGAAATTTGCGATACTCCTCATAGGATTTCCATCCGACTGCCACCAAACTTGGTGAACATGATTTCAAAACACTGGGGAAGTAAAATTGCCAAGGGATTTTTGATCTCGAACGGTTTGGCCGTGGCAATGCAACAAAGTTATGGCGAGAAATGAGAAACAGGAAGTGTCTAATAACTTTTGCACACTTTGTCTGATTTTGATCAAACTTCAGCGGTTTGTTAGTTGTATGATGCTGATCGCATAGATGTGACTATTAGTAGTCAAAGTTACAGTGCCACCAACTGGCAGCAGGAAGTGTGTCATTTTCAAAATGATTTGAAATCACATGCTTATTTTTACCCGATTTGCTTCAAACTTCATCAAAATAATGTCAAAACACGGCCGATGAGAATCTGTAAAGGGGTCCTTGATATATTAAATGCTGTTGCCATGGAAACGTGTCAAACTTGAAGTTTTTGAGGCCCTTAACATGCTTACAATTTCATGAAACTCGACACAGATTTCAGTATTAATGATAGTTAGACACTGGTAAAAGCTCATAAATTGGCGTGGAGGAGGCACTCTATAGCGCCACCTTTTGACAAAACTTGGGGGATTAGCTTTTCCTATAGTCACCAAACTCAGTACATATATTGTTCTCATCAAGCCAAACAACTTTCTAATTTACAGTCATTAGCTATGATCAACAGGAAGTTGATCTTGGTTTGAATGTGGATATTTGGACAAATCAGGCTGTTAATGAATTCATACTCCTCATAGCAGAAACATACAGTTCACACCAAACTATGTCAACATGATGACAAGATACTGAAGATGCTAAATTGCGAATGGATTTTGGATATCTTGAACGGTGTTGCCATGGTGATTTATTGAATTAACGGTAAAAAATATAGCAGTAATTTTCTTATATATTTAAAGTGCATTATCCAAACTCTTAAAAACTTTTTAAATATGAGAACAAGTCATTCTTAGGAAACATGCTTAGTTTCATTAATGTATCATGCTCAGGGGCCACAAAAAAAATTTAACTATCAGATAATTCAGTTGACTGACAAAGACTGTAATACCAAGGATGACCATCGGATAGAGTCATAGGATTAGAGATCCTTTAACCCAAATCCTGTTCAGCTCATCCTCAGTGTATCAGAAGGAAAAAAATAATGCATAGAATCAATTGAAACTTACTATACTGTCAGTATACTTTTACGTAATTAATTTAGAAATGCTTATAGAGCATTAAAATTATTTAAAAAACGTCTTTAAAGGAAAAATCATTAAAAGTTTTATATATCCTACCCTCTCTCACTGATAGGATAATAAATCTTATAAGTCTGACTTTTTAATGTTCAGTTCAATTAATTAGAATAAGAAACAAATACATAAAATAAGTTAATATGTACTTTACTGGTAATATAGTTTTATATAATTATTTCACAAATGCTTATAGATCATTTAAATGTTTTTTAAAAATGGTTATAGATCATAAAAAGTGTTGGTAATAATTTACAATAAGGTATTTTTGGTTAATATTAGTTCCCTTTCAGTCGGTCACTCTCGACGTCACGTCGGAGGACTGACGAATTGGGATCTCGCTTAGAGGGACCAATCTACTTCGAGTGTAAACTAAGCGAGCCAATGCACATTGGCATGCGATTATTGCATCCAGCTGCTGCTGATCACAGCGTGAGTATAAGTAGGCAGCAGATGCAGCGCATATTCAGCTTTTCGCTTTGGAGCTGAGCGATCACATCGTTCTGCTCCTGACTACTCTACTGAGAGAAGAAGACTGAACGAGTTCAGCGCGCTCTTGGAGAGCTCTTCGTGTTGGCGGACGGCGCTTCAGCGGTGGTGGTTTCCCGTGTCGAGTGGGTTGCACACATCAGGCTGCACTACCCCCTGGTTGTGTTGCAGATGATCATCTCCCCTGTGCGCCTCAGCATGCTAAAAGAGCTTTTCCCCCTAAAAGAGCAATTTCGGGTGCACCTTTTTAAAGACGACGTTGCGTGGCAAACTTGACGATACGTCTTTGTAAAGACGATGTGGGTCTTGCTATAGACAACGTATCACCCGGGCATTTTTGGATGCGGTCGTTACCTGGCGCTGGGTGATGGTCATGATCGCTGCCTCTCGTGCCTGGGCATGAAGCACGCTGAGGTGGCTTTCGTGGATGACTCATGCTCCCATTGCGGGGGTATGACCATCTCGGAGTTGCGGACCAGACTCCGTTACCTGCAAAGGGGCAGAGTGCCCGTGCCACTGCCTAGATCTGGGGTTCCCTCTGGTGGCAGCCGGGGGCGTCCTTTTTCTGGCGGTGGGCGGACTGGTCTTACGGTCACGGTGAGGAATTCCCCTCCGGGGATGCCCAAGCCCGCCGGCACTTCGAATCCAGCGGAGCTCTCAAAAAGAGCAGGCTGGACCCTCCCGGGGGGTACCACCTGTTTCTTCAAGTCTCCCCTCCGACGACCGGATGTCGGTTGCAGCATCGGAGGGTGAGCCAGAGCTCTCTGGAGAGGAAGATTCGGCTGCGCTGCTCTCCTCCGGGACCATAGCAATGCCTG